TTCTTACTGGCTGCTCCCAGGTTTTGGAACTCCTTCCCATGACCATCTTGGTTGGCCCTATTTATTCTCTTCCCACCAGCAGACAAGGACTTTTTCATTTTGGCTCTTGATTTACTGTGGCAGAAAGGTCTTTTAATAGGGTATGTTATGCAGTCATCTTTTTTTACTATCATTTAATTTATTTAAAATGGTTTTAATTTAGTGTTTTTAACCAAATGGTTTATTTAATGGGGTTTTTAGACTATTGTATCAATCAGCTGTACGTTGTTTTAATCTGTTGTAAGACACTTTGGATCCTGAACTGGGAGAAAGATGGGTTATACATTGAGTAAATAAATTAAGGTGGTGTTGTGCAATTGTCACATACATGAATGTATAATTATGCTGCACCTTCTTGATGGAGGATCTCAGAAATTAACCTAAAATTCATAGGAGAGAGTTCTCTATTATTTAAGTAGTCCATCTTTTCTAGGCATACAAAGGAGAAGAAGAAAATGAGCTTAAATGTTACTCCCGTTTTTTTAAAAAAATACCGTAGCATTCTGTCAGTCTCAGGCATATGAAATGGGCAATCCTACAGGAAAGTGGGTTTTAAAATCTTGTGGCAAGGTGCCTTGGGGTTCCTCAATGAACTGATTGGCAATAGTCAACAAGCATTTCTGAATGAGGAATGCCAGTCATGATTGTACTCTTATTTCACATGGATAGCGGCAAGGAACAAGAGGGCATGCTACAGCGTGGAGTAAACCAAGCACATGTTCAATTGTACATCACATGTGTTACATGGAAATGCTTCTAAGTTCAACCTGAAGAGTCTCTGGTGAAAAGGATCAAGTAGCAGGTAACCAAAAAGTCCTCTGCTGGGATCACAGAGAGCTGATGGGAAGGCTGTAGCTTTTGTTTTTCAGACAGAACGTCCCAGGTTCAATCCCTGCCATCTCCAGCTAAAAGGATCAGAGAGAAGGTTAAGTGAAAGATCTCTGCCTGAGACCCTGGACAGCTATTGCCAGTCACAGCAGATAAGATGAACAAACAGTGTCATTGAGTATAAAACAGCTTTGTGAAGTTCCCCAGTCACACAAGCCCAGAGTGGACTCTATGGCAATTCATTCCAATATTAGTTTTTCTATTTCCTTTACAAGGTAGAGGTTTTTGCCAGAGCATGCCAGTGACCTGAGTTTCTTAGGTTTTATCTAACAGGGAGATGTAATCACCTATTCCAAATCACCTTCTAAAACACATGCATATATACACACCAGGAAGGAAGCTGTTCCTCTTTCTCATGCTCACCAATGCAGCCTACAGGAAAAAAAGAGGAAAAGACTGATGAAATAAAACCTCAAAGAAGAATCAGGGCTTGTGCTCTTTAGGAGAGATTTTCCTTAATATTACCAAAGAGCTCAGATACACTGCCATTTTGGTGGTATGCCTGGATCTCCAGGAGCCAGTATAGTGTAGCCATTGGAATGCTGGACTAGGACTCTTGGAAACCAGGGTTTGAATCCCTGCTTGGCCATGAAAACTCACTAGGTGACCTTGGATGAATCCCAGCCTCAGAGGAAGGCAATGGCAATCCTGCTCTGAACAAATCATGCCAAGAAAACCTTGGATTCCAGAATTTCTTGTCCCAGAATGCTGGTTAGGAGGACATAGGGTAGCAAAAGCTGTTGCTTTTCCTGGCTAGTTTACAAAGCACAAAGAATACAGACTCTACAAATGGTATCTTCATCAGGCAATCAGAGATACTCATTGACTTGGATGACCCAAAAAGTGAGAAAAACATTCCATTCATGAAGCACAGCCACTATCAGCAAATGCATCAGGAACTGGGTGTTGCAGTTCATTAACACCTGGAGCAGTGATTCCCAAACTCTGAACTTCCAAAGTTTTGGACTTTGGCTCCCAGGATCCCTAACCATTAGGCAAGATGGCTGAGTCTTCTAGGAGCTGAAATCCAAAACACCTGTAAGGCCAGAGTTTGGGGATTACTGATCTGAAGGGATATAGCTGTGGACCATAGCTATATCCTTCTAACTATCAGTTGCAGAGAAGGAATGACAAGAGAAGGGCATGATCCAATTTAGTTTGGCAGCCCCAATCACATGTTTGGGAATTTTAAAAAAAAATAAGAAATAGCTGGTCTTGAATGGGATAAGAACAACCACCTCACAACTGCAAACACAGGTGTACAGGTCAAAGATATTCCTCATCAAGCGCTGATGGTAAATAGTTCCAGGCACTAAAAATAAATATCTTCCAAGCCACTAAAGAATTTCCCCACTTCCTTTTTAAATATATTTTTAATGTGAATTCTATTTTAATTAGCTAAATACATTTCAAAATGCACAATTTATCTCAGACTGCAACTTGGAGACCTTTGTATGGCTCCCTGCTGGAATTTCACAATAAATCACAGCTAATAAATACGAGCAAACAGTATGCCAGCCAGCCAGCTTTTCTTGAGGAAGGAAATGTCATTATTTGTACGTTAAAATTTATTTTCTCCTTTCCATCTTCAAAGCATTTTACAACCATTAACCGAATGACACAGACCTTCATGTTCCTACTGGTGTTTGGGACACAGGTCATTAGAGTACCCAAGTGGGACCTGCAACAAGATGTTTTGCTTCTATTTGGGGTGCCTGCCAGCCAGCCAGCCATACCCTTCACCAGCATACCCCATTACACAAAGACAAACACACACCAGCAGAGATCTACACCCATCGTTGGTCAGCATTGCATGTTCATTTCTCATGCATCTGCAAAGCTTGAAGTTCCATCTCCTAGGTACAGATAATGAACTTTTAGCTACATAATGAATCTGCACTCTGAAAATATTGTACGTTTGATTTCACTGTACAAAAGGTAAAGGTAGTGCCTTGACATGAATGTCTAGTCATAACCAACTGTAGGGGTGGTGCTCATCTCTGTTCCCAGCATTGTCAGAGACTGATCTGTGATCCTGTGGCCAACATGATTGCACAGAATGCTGTTTACCTTCCCACCAAAGTGGCACCTATTTATCTACTTGCATTTGCATGCTTTTGAGCTGCTAGGCTGGCAAAATCTGGACCTGGTGACAGGAGTCACAAGTGACTATACAAGTGCTGAAGAATTTGTGACCCTCTAGATGCTGTTGGATTTCAGCTCCCCTCATCCCTTGCCTATGCATTCAGACTGCTGCCGTCATAGTCACCTGGCTCACAGGTGTCTCATAGTAATAGGTGGTTGACACTCATCAATTCCAGAAGGCAGTGCTTCAGAGGCCACTGGATGAATCATGTCTTAGCAACAATCAGGGCCAGCCCTTCTATTAGGCAGAGTGAGAACCATCTCAATCAGCAGATTTTGAGGTCAACAAGTTGTTGGCTGTTTTACTTGTTGTTGTTGTTGTTGTTTATTGTTATTGTTATTGTTATAGAGGGTAGGAAGGTACTTGTAGGGGTTCTGTACCAAAATAATTGAGTCAGCTTTGAGAATGATGCTCTTTAACCAAGGAGGTGGGAGTATGTGCTGTTCTATCTTGGGCTGCAAAACATCTTAGACTGGTTCAGGGGGAAATTAAAAAGGATGTTCAAACCAGCAGGGTCATGCTGGTTGTGGGGGTTCTGAAAGTTTTTTTGTCAGAAAATGAATTTTTCCAAACTCTGAATTATGATTTTGATACAGGTTATCCTGTGTATAGTTACCATGTGATTTCATTCAATGAGGTCAAATACTGAATAACTCAAATTGTCTGAGCAATATGATATGACTCTTTTGTGGGGTAAAGATTACATAGTACAATTCTTTTCAAGAGGTTCTCTTTCCCAGATTCTTTAAATAGCTATCTAAAATTACTACTCTGAAGTATAACATATGCGTAAGCATCCACCACTATTGCCAGAGCTCAAAGGGAAAGACACATACACAGAGAGACACATACACAAAGCTTAAATTATGTAAGCTTGGGTATGGCCAGCTGTTGAGATCAGCAAAACTGCAGTGCTCTTCACGATTTTCAGTGGCTGATGTGGACAAAAAAGAAACAAGCATTACCTTTTACCATGTATGTACGTGAGAGCTGGATAGTTAAGAAAGATGATAGGAAGAAAATCCAATTCATTTGAGATGCGATGCTGGAGAAAAGTTCTGAGGATATCATGGACATCCAAAAAGACAAACAAATGGATCCTAGATCAGATTAAGCCAGAGATCTCCATGGAAGCCAGGATGACTAAATTGAGGCTGTTGTACTTTGGACACATCATGAGAGGGCACGACTCACTGGAAAGGACAATAATGCTAGGAAAGATAGGGGAGATGCTCGATGGAAGAACTCTGTTAAAGAAGTTATGGATATGAATTTACAGGAACTAAGCAGATCAAGCCAGAAACTTTGGACACATCATGAGAAGGGAAGACTCTTTGAAAAAGGCAATAATGCTGGGAAAGGTGAAGGGAAGTAGAAAGAGAGGAAGACCACATGCTAGATGGATGAACTCTATTAAGGAGGGTATGGTATGGGTTTGCAGGAATTAAGCAGAGCAGTGGAGGACAGACGGTCTTGGAGATGTCTCATCCATTGCCATGGGTCGAGTTTGATTTGAGGGCAGTTAACAACAACAAAAGCAGATTAGTAGAGGACAGGGAGTCTTGGAGAAGTCTCATCCATGGGGTCGCCAAGGGTTGACATCAACTTGACAGCAGTTAACAACAACAACTACACCATTTAGAAGCCAACTTATAAGTGCATCAGGGCATGATTTGGGGGGACATCCAGAGGCCCACTCAATTCCAATTTTCCAAATGCAGAAAATCCACCTTATTGGCAGGCTAGCTATCTGCAGAAATGGCAGTTCATTTTAGGTTCTTAAAGTAACAAAATAATTTTCAATGTGTTTTTTTGTTGTGAGCCTTCAAGTCATTTCTGACTTATGGCAACCCTAAAGTGAACCTATCACAGGGTTTTCTGGGGCTGAGAATGTGTGACCTGCCCAAGGTCACCCAGTGTATTTCCATGGCTGAGCAGGGAATTGAACCCTGATCTCCATAGTGAGTCCAACACTCAAACCACTAAGCCACATTGGCTCTCAGTGTGAAATAGGTGCTAGATTGTATTTTTTCCTATTTTTGTGAAAATGTATGTATCAGTTGTATCCCTCCTTGGTCATCTCCATTTTGGGTGACTCTCCAAACAATAATATTAATACAAACGCATCAAACAAGATTTCATTATAAACCATAGCTTGGAAAAGTTACCTTTGGGGACTACGGAGCTTATTGCATGCCCAAATAAGCCGGTTTACCTTTGCTGACTTCAATCGTCTTCCTGGATACCTCCAGATGTTATCATACGTAAATCACTGCTGATTTAGCCATGATGCCACTGGCTGGGTCAGACTCAGGCCGAAGCCACGCTCAGCTGGCACTTTTTAGAAGTCAGAAGTTTTCGACTTCTAATATTTGGTGGCTGAACATGGCTTCAACCCGCGTTTGATCTGGGCTGTATTTGGCAGGTGGCATTGTGGCTAAATTGGTGGTGATTTATGTACGATAACATCCAGAGGTATCCTGGAAGAAGATTGAAGCCAGCAAAAGTAAGCCAGCTTATTTAGTGGAGCGATAAGCTCCTACATCTCTCAGAATCTTCTGGCCTCTGGTAAAATCATAAATGAATACAGAAAGATATACAAGGCCAGAATATCTTTCTATCTGGTCCAAGATTGTTTATATGCTGACCGTCAGGAACTCTCTAGGATCTCAGGTAAGGGGGTCTTCCCTTTCTCTGTTACCTAATCCTTGTAATGAGAAACATTGAAAATTGACCACAGGATCACCTGCCAGCAAATACACAAGCATTAGCAATGAGCTGCATTTCTCTTCCATACGGAGAGTTATTAAGATAGTAAAGAAGACCCAAATGAAACAAGAAAATATTACTTTATTGCACTGCTTTGGCCCGAAGTAGAAAAACATTAGATAAGACAGTCCACTTTTGGGTAATGAGACCTTTAATCAAAATGCTTTCACAGAACTGAAAGCTGGAAAGGATGCTAGAAGTTACTTAGTCCAGTCCCTTGGTCAGTGTAGGAGGCAACAACAACGGTCAAGACAGATGACCATTCAGCCCCCATTTAAGTACATTCAGCATACACCCAACCCAACTCAGTCTGTTTCTCTGTCAATCAGCATATGACATCTGGAGTATTCCCGTCATGTTTAACCCAATTCTGTTTCCCTGCAATTGACATTGACTGGTTCAAATCCAACTCTTTAGAACAAAAGAGGACAAGTCTACTCTGACCTCTGAGTGAAAGCCCATCCGACATCTGAAGACCACTCTCACATCTTCCATTATACCTTTGCTTCTCTGTGCTAACCATAGCCAGTTTATCCAAACATTTGATGGATTGATTGATATCTCCCCTTTCTCCCAACACAAGACTCAAAGCGACTTACATTAAGACAAAGTACAGTTTAAAAGAAAGCTATTAGTATAAAAATGAAAAATGAAACAACAACTCGATTAAAAATCACAAAAGTTAAGAAAGTTTAAAACACAATTTAAAGGATATAAGCACACACTCCATTAAAAGTTCCTTTTACTCCAAGTGGCTACGCCTCTGGATACAAGAGTTTGATTCCCAGCTCAGCCATGAAACCCACTGGGTAACCTTGGGCGAGTCACATGCTCTCAGCCTCAGGAGAAGGCAAGGGCAAACCTCCGCTGAACTCATCTTGCCAAGAAAATCCCATGATAGGGTTGCCATGAGTCAGAAATGGCTTGAAGGCACACAACAACAACAAAACTAACAAGTTAAGAAACATTTCTCATAGGTCTGCATTTCCAAGTCCTTCACCATTCTAGCACCCTTTTACACTATACAATGTTAGCCTTAAACGTCCACTTTACTGCTAAGGCAACATCCTACAGAATCCTGGGGTTTGCAGTTTGAGCACTAGAGTTCTCCAGTGGAAAATTATAACTCTCCCTCCCTAAATGACAAATCCCAGGATTCCATAGGATGTTGCCATGGCAGTTAAAGAGGAATCAGAGCGTTACTACTGCATAGTGCGAAAGGGCACCTGGTCACCTTTCTCTGAATGTGCTTGTTTTGTCAATGCCCTTCATTTTAAAAATGTCCCATCTCAAGTCCGTTTGATCCAATAAGGTGCAAAATGGAGCCTTACTTTTAAATAAATCTACCCAAATCCTAAGCCCTCCTAACATCCCCCTTCTCACTAATACAACGTTCTGCTTTTTGCTTCCTTCTCCCATTTCAAAACTGTCCCTTTAACACATCATTCCTAATTAGATGATTAGTGCTTGGAAGGGCAGGAGATAAGTCATTTGCATAATTTAATCATAAAGAGAAGTTAAAGATATAGATTTTGCTGTTCGTTTGTACAATTATCTTCTCCAGCCCAGAGGCAGAAGGGGGGGAGAGAGAGAGAGAGAAAGGGAGGGTGAGATATTAATGTGATTAAACAGTATTTCTGAAAAACAGGCAACTGTGTGTCCTGTATTAAAAACAGAGCTAGAGGCAAATGAAAGATTAATTGCAGAAGACAATCAATTTTATTCTACATGACTGTAATAAATAACAGCTCATCCGCAGACAAGTCATTAGGCCCTGGGTGGGTACATGTGTCACAAAGTTTAAATGACACACAAGGCTGGATATTCTACCCAAAGAGACCACAGAATAAATTGCCATTTCAACCTAGAAATTAGAGGATTTCCTAGAAAACGCAGGCAAAACTAGATTAAGAAGTACACATGCAAAGTACAGTGTGGAATGTATAATTCTCAAACCCTTTGCTCTGGTGTCATTTTTTACCTTCTGCTTTTTCCCATGGATGGCATGGTGATATACATGGGTTGAGACCAGGCAGTCTCTCATTCAGGCTTTATTTCATCACATACAGACTTGAGGACATCAGGATTAGGGCAACTGTCATAGGCTATCGACTCCGTGGTTGGAACAAAAATAGTACACACCATTCGTTTTCAATTGCAAAGCTAGCAAAACTGATCACTGGAGCCAAAGCTGTATTAACATGGGTTTATTTTTTGGGGGGGGGAGGGAGTCTAGCAGGAAAATGTATAACATCAATGTGCATTCAATGAAAAGATTATTAGCAACTGTTTGGGATTGCAATCCAATCCATATGTTTAGACATATTGCCTTATAAGACTTATAGGGCAACAATGTTATAGGTCCAAATTGTGCACCAAAGTTGTGAAATAGATGCCAAATGCAACTTTAAAATATATATAGTCAAAAGGCAAACCAACACAAGAGGGGTCTTGAAGGCACTTCTCGTTCTGGGGGAGATTTGGGCTAAGACTGGCCTCAAAGAAAGAGGTATGAATGGAGGAAGAGAGGAAGGAGGTATGAATGGCAGCTTATCTGACTATACTCATTTCATTATGAATCACATAGAAGAGGGGGGATTCAAAGACCTAGCCATGTTAGTCTGAAAAATAAGTATGCAAAGGGATCTTATACCACCTTTGAAACTAAACCGAAAGAAAGAAGATGGTAGCATGAACTTTCTTGAGACTTCCTCAGATGCATGGGGCTCAAGTATACAAAACCTCATGCTATCAGCTTCTTTCTTTCAGTTAGTCTCAGAGATGCTACAATACTCCTTTGCATGGAAGAAAGGTTAGCAACTCCCAAGAGACAGAATTTATCACTTATTGCATGTCCCTTCTTTCATGGGATTTGCAAGGGAGACCATACTCTGTAATGCTCCACCACAAAAGTACCACCTGAAGTGGCACAAGAGTCATTGGGCTTTTCTGTGCACATCACACTAACTAAACTATGTTGTAGCATTATGTGCATAGGCCTCCATGAGTTATGGTTGTGCAAAACTCAATTTTCTTCTTACAACTGAATTTGAGGGAACTCCGCTTAGTTGAAACCAGCCATGGAAAGACTTTGGATCTACTTTGCAGGAGGCTTGCTGGGGTCGAACTAAATGAAAAAAATTGCAACTCAGGCAATGGAGTCTATTAAATACTTCATCCCATGAACCAAACATGAGGGTGATTCTACATCAAGAGGATGCCTGTGGCCCTCCAGAGGTTGCTGGACTCCAATTTCTATCAGCCACAAACAACATGGTAATGAGGGATGACAGGAGATGTAGTCTAGCAATATCCATCAAGCCAAAGGTTCCCCATCCTTTATACAAGTACAAATGCATTATTTATTTATGTTTGGAAATGTTTTAAAAGTCCTCATTCAGGTACTGG